CATGTAATCATGATTGTATTCCAAACGCCTTCTTAAGTGAATTTGTATAACATGAGCCTCATCAAAGGACCTTGGTAGAGATGTCACAATATTGTTAACAGAAATTGGTATATTAACAACAGCACCTTTGAGCAAACTCTGACCTTGATATCCTAACGGACGGATTGTCATAAAAGGCAATGTAGGCATTATGAGACGTTCTTCAATTGGGGTTAAACCTTTCAAACAATCCGGTATTTTAGGAAAATCTAGACTGTTAGCTAAACATATTTTTGGAACGTTCTTTTTAACAATCGCATTTTTGCAAGTAGCACAAAAATTGTAATTTCCATCTTCTGAAGGAAATTTTTGCATTAAAAAGAAGGCGGATGCAGCATTCGGGTGATCTTGCTCAATCGTTTCGAAATTTAATTTGCGAACTTGGTGTGAAAACCATAAGCCGCCGCAGCAAATACATATTTCAGTAGGGCCCTTAGTCATATTTTAGAAATAAATGTTTTTGAAATCTGTTAAATTGCCACTATTATCAGTTTCTATAACATTGTTTTCTCTCGTTAATCGGATTCGTTGGGACTGCCTTTGGTTTTCAATTTGTCTATTGAGTGGGTTGTCTCTACGAAGGAGAACTTGACCATGTCTAAGACGTCTCTGATTCAAAATTTCTTCCTTCATACCCCTCCTACTAGGCTGTCGACGTTGTGTTTCTCTATCACGCTCCTTTCTCCTTATTTCAGGATTTCTTCTTGCATGTTCCCTTTGCATTTGATCACGAATGCGCTCTAAATTCCTATACTCAGGATTTCTTGCGCGAAGTTCTCTATGAACCCTAGTGTTCCTACTTTGTTCATCATAACGTACCTCAGGACTTTCTCGACGAGATCTATGACCTCGAGTACTTCTTATTTGCTCTTCAGAGCGAATTTGGGCGAGTTTTATTTAAATTTTGTTCAAAAGACCGTACCTCGAGATTTTCCCGCCTGGTTCTATATAGATTTGTATTGATAATTTGTTCGGACAGACGTACATCGGAATCTAATCTACGATTAGCGTGACTTACAGTATTTTGTGACTGCTCACTATCTCTATATAAAGAGTTTGCACGAAGAACTCTCATACGTTTTCTATTCTGAAGACGACTTAGTAATATAGATTTTCTACTTAATCTAGGCATAATTAATTAATAATAAATGGATTAATATATAAAATACTTATAGATAGTACTTATACAATATAATTCAGTCCGTCCGGTTGTTAAAAGTTGGATCCTAGGTGCTGCTCTCTTTCATTGTAATTCCTTGTAAGTCCTTGCTATGCTATTGCTCGTCACTATACACAGTGCTGTGTAATACACTAAAATTAGTTTGAATAAAGCACTTTGCTTGTAAAGACATCTAGTGAAACTGAAACTACAAACACAGTGTACTGATATTTATTATACTCTTGCAACATGTTGGTACAGCTTACGTACTTTTGTATACCTATATATTACTTAGCTATTCACTAACATAATAATACATAATATTAAGTTATATTTATATTTTAGAAATTAGTAGTTTATTTCATTTTATTAAAATTAAGTTCTCGGAAAACCCCTCCGTAAATTACTTTTGTTAAACGCTTTCTAAAATAGGGGGATCTATGGTACCTATTTTGAAGGGTCTACCCATGAAGGCTAAATTAACAATAACTTAAATATAATTAAGTATGGTATACACATATGTAGAGCAGGTATGTAGATTTTCTTCTTTCTGTCTTAATATCTAAACCTTTCATAAGCTGCCAACGGCGCTAGGTAAAAATGTAATTTTCTTGAGTTTACAGTTCACCTCATGACCTTCATATTAAAATGTGTCGCAAAACTGAAATAATAGACAGTAGCATGTAAACCGATGGTCGCAGTTTATCTATAACCACATAAAAAGGGTCTTTAGCCCTTTTGATACTACATTACTAATATTTATTTCATGCAATTTTTTGTAGAAAGATTTTTTTGCTCTATACAAAGTCCAGCACTCTAAGAAACTTTTTTAGCATTGTTGACTGGTATATTTTATAATAAGTTCAACATGATGGCTGAGAAAATATACCTAACCACTGATTATCACCAAATATTAGAAGAAATATATATATAGAAATCTATATCTATCACTTTAGGTGATGCAAACAACTATTTGGTGAACAAAACTAGACTCTGTTGCAACATGTTGCGAAAGAATTCAACACTCATTACTCGATTATGATTTGGTATCTTATTAACTTATGTTATTGATCATAGATTTATTTTGTGTCAAAACTATTTTTTTCTCCGCAATGTTAACTTTTATAAAAAGAAGCTATTTAACTCAAACATTGTATATGTGATATAAACTGAATATGAGGTTGCTGTTGTACCAGAGGAGCGGAAATCAGTATCTTAGGGTTATAAGGTTTAAACAAAGTCTAAACCAATTTCATTCAAATGCAGCGATATACATTATTTTTAAGAAAAACAGTCCATTTAATTTCATTAAATTATCAAATTGACGAAAAAAATTATACCATAAGTAGTACATGTGGGAAAATCAAAGATCAGAAAATTCCTCCAAACCGTATATTAAAAAATGTTGCATTAAACATCCATTATTAAATGATATCGTGATTAAATTACAATCAAATTTGGTATCTTCTTGACTTATATTAAAGGCCATAAACTTAGTCTCAGCTTTATTGCTTGAAGTGAGATATACATAAATATGAATGTGATATTAACTCCACCAAAGTGGCTAAATTTTATATTATAAGCTTAGATAGCAAACGTCAACCAGAGAGTCGGAATTCATTATATAAAGGTGTGAGGTTTAGACTTAGTATATACTAATTTCATTCTAATTCAGCGTCAAACCACATAATTTTTAAGAAATATTTTCCACTTAATTTCGTTAAAATATCACGTTGATCAACCGGAACGGTGTAAAGTCAGGTGGAAAGACGGAAATCATATATATTGGGGATAGAGAAATATATTAATTTTGACATTGCTCAGCATACTCGAGAACATATTTTGAAGCAATTTTATATATAAAAAAAAATATTAATACTCACTGACCGACATATTCGGAATAAAACTGGTTAGAATAACGAAAAGAATTACATACTAACTGTCACAGACTAATAAAATGCTCCCACTGTTTCATTAAGGTACCTCACATACCATCACCAATCAAATGGAGTAAAGTCAGACGAATGTTCGAAAATCCTGATATTAGTTACATGGGGGCTAAGGAAAATTTTCAACCGATTTGATCTTGTTATGAGTAAAACACGCTCTCTCATTTTCATTTGGATAACTCACATATGCGGTATAAAGTCCGGAAGTTCAAAAATATTTATATTAGATATATGAGGGCTACAAGAAATATTGATCCGATTCAACCCATTTTTGAAACAAAGACATACTATTATCGATAGTTTCATTTATTTATTCTATTATATGAATTTCAATTATATATCTTACACAATGGCCCATATATTTTCGGTAAAAAGTCAACTATAGGTACTGGGGTCCACATATTCATTACCTAGGGGCTTGGTTCGATTTAGAGAATTTTTGGTCACAAAGTGGCATACTTTAAACGTATTATTCACGCAAAGTTTTACGCCGATATAATAATTTTTGCTTGATTTGCATAGGGGAAAGTGAAAGAATCAAGTGGAATTTAAAATGGTGTCATATGGAAAATAGGCGTGGTTGTAATCTTTCGCATTTCGCCCATTTTCGCACCATAACATAAAAATAAAAAAAGAATGTTATGTATCAAATTTGGTTGAAATCGGTTAAAAAGATCCCAAGATATAGGTTTTCACCTAAAAGTGGGCGGTGTCACGCCCACTGTCTAATTTTGAACGCGGTTCCTATAAAGTCATCTCATACCATCCCTGAGATAAAATTTAATGTCTCTGGCGTATTTAGTGCTTGATTTATCGCGCTTTCAGTAGTTTTTAACAGTACCGTTACATGGGGAGTGGGCGGGGTTGTCACCCGATTTCACCCATTTTCACACCGTAGGTAGAGGTGCTAAAAACATTTGCTTCCAGTGAATTTTGTTATTATAGCTTTAGTAGCTTAGGAGATATGCACATTAAACCTATTAGGGGCGGGACCACGCCCACTTAAAAAAAATTTAAACTGCAGATGCCCCTCCCTAATGTAGTCTCGTGTACCAAATAACAGTCTTGTATCTTATTGCGGAGCTTAGTTATGACAATTTATTTGTTTTTGATTAATGACGTTTTGTGGGCGTGGCAGTGGTCCGATTACGCCCATCTGCAATACCAACCGTCTTACTGTACCAAGAAACATGTGTATTAAGTTTCAAAAAAGTTATCTCAATTTTTACTCAAGTTACAGCTTGCACGGGCGGACAGATGGACGGACGGACAGACAGTCACCCGGATTTCAACTCGTCTATTCATCCTGATCATTTATATATACATAACCCTAGATCTAACTCGATTAGTTTTAGGTGATACCATTGCCACCGATTATAAAAATTTTGTTGACCTAACAGTTGTTTCTTTCACCTAAATCTAATTGAGATAGATATGGAGTTATATATATGTATATAAATGATCAGGGTTACGAGAGGAGTTGAATTCCGAGGAATTTTCTGTCTGTCCGTCGGTCCGTCTGTCAAGCGAAAACTTTAGCAAATATTGAGCTTTCTTGATGAAACTTGCTACACATGAAACTTGGTACGCAAGGAGAGTTGGTATTGCATATGGACGGAATAAGACCAATACCACGCTCACAAAACGAAATTAATCGAAAACCAATAAAGTGCCATTTTTAAGCTTCACAATAAAGGACAAGATTGTTGTTAAGTACAACGAATATCATTAGGGAGGGGCATCTACGGTTGACATTTTTTTTAAAGTGGGTGAGGCCCCGTCCTCGAATAAATTCAATAAACATGTCTCCAAACCCTTCAAGTTATAATAAACAAATTTGCTCAAGACAAATATTTATTGTTTGCCCATCCACCCTGTGAAAGTGGGTGACTATTTATTATAAAAATATATCTTATTTTAGTTGTTTGAAATATACTTACGGAATCTATCCCCTCTATACTCTTCGTGTTGTTAAATATACATATGTTCTTTAAGTACGTCCTAAAATAAGTACAAAAAAAATAGATAAATACAAATTTATAAAATAACATACAATTTTGTCAACTTACCTTCGCTCTTAAGAAACAAATGACCGCTATGAAATGCATGATTTGCATGGAATAGGAGCACCACTGCCGGAATCCAGTCGCTGTGCACGTTTACATTTTCTGTACGTGTCACGCAGTCCTTTCCATCGTTTCCTACAGCTGTCTTCTGCAAATATTTATAATACTTAAGAATAAAGTTTACAATAAAACAGGCTTTTCTTTGACACACCTGGCAAATTTATTATTTTAGCTACTTCTTCCCAAATTTGGGTTTTTTTAAACACATTTTTGTAATCCGGTGATGATAAATTGTATAGGCACTCATATTTACGTATTTCCTCTATTAATTGTTCGTTTAAATCCATTTTATTTGCTTATAGCAACCTAGTGCATACATCGCTGTTAAAAATATTACAATGTTTTGATTTTGAAATTGAAATGACGAAACCAAGCAGAAACACTCTTAATATTGCCAACGCAGACATTTTCTGGAATTTGTTTTGAAATTTCTAAAGATTTTACTGAAAATAAACTTTCTTTGATATGGCAATGCCGTTTTTGCCGCCGCGGTCGGCGATAAAATTAAAAATAGCTCTATCTCAAAAATCGTTATGGTGGGCGAAATTCGCCGCCCTCGCGTATTGTGTTAATCTTCATATACAATCGTGTGTTTATGCTATAACTATACTAGCAGCGGTGACAGATCTTTCACACATTCAAAATCATGCGCTGCAAATTGCAATACAACCTAGAGAAAGCAAAACAATGTAAGTAAGTGCTCTTTTCAACCTTAAAGCACAAAATAAGGCAACCTACCATGGAACCACCATTGGGAAATATCTCTCGCAACGCTTCACGTTCGCCATACAATATTATCTCACTCGATTCCTAGTTGGGGCAACGATGAAACATTACGCATCTAACGTTCATTGGACCAATAAGATTTGAACTTCTGCTTTATTGGATAATTTGACAGAAGGTAAATTTTGAAACTCCACGGATCTACCAGCGAAACCTTCCTCGACGATAAAACTTGCAAGAATTAAAGCTCTGGAAATTCCTTCAGTTGCTGGCAAAACTTTATATTAAACAAGTAAGGAAGGGCTAAGTTCGGGTTTAACCGAACATTTTATACTCTTGCAAGTATCAAAGCAGAAAGAATATAATACTTTCAGGTGTACGGAAAACTTTATACAGCGTGCCTCACGAATCGTGCTACATAACCGTAATAAGTTTTTTTTAATCAATCCATTACATTTATTTATTTTTTAGTGTATAGCACATTTTATTTTTTATTTAATTATGGACCGCAAATGATCTCCATGCCCAGCCACGCATATGCGACACCTAATTGAAAAATTATTCATTGCGGCTTGAAGGGTTGAAGGCGGGACTGCCTCAATTAGCGACTTAAGGGCTTCAAATCAGTCAGATTTCTGGGTTTTGTTTTGTACACCTCTTGCTTGACATAACCCCATAAAAAAGTCTGGTGTAGTCAGGTAAGGTGGCCATGGGGGCCAGCGGAATGTTGAGTTTCTTGATAATAACCGGTCTGGCTACGTGTGCAGTTGCTCCATCTTGCTGGAATCAAACGCTATTGAAATATATACGTCTTCGGCGCAGTTCTGGGTAAAAAAACTCATTCAACATCTTTAAATAACGGTGCCCATTGACAGTTACATTTACACCGTTTTCTACATAGAAGTATGGCCCGACAATAAACCTTGATGAAACTGCGCACCACATGGTGACTCGTTCTGGGTGAAGTGCCGTCTCGTGGATTATTTCCGGATTTCTGAACTCCATATATGGCAATTTTGCTTGTTTACATTTCCGTTTATATCAAAATGAGCCTCATCAGACTATTACATGTTATTGTCTTCTTCGGTAATTTCAATCATTTTTTAACAAAATTTTAGGCGAATATGGAAATCTAAAGGGTTTAACCGGCATGCTATTTGAATTTTATACGGAAACTGGTTCATCATCAGTCATCATGAATCATGCATTGTAATGACCGCCTGCAACAGCCCCGATTGTTTCTTGAACACAAACATACAGATCTCGATATTACGGTCTTCTTGCGATACTTTCAGATTCGACAAGCATGTTTACCAACCTCATAAAGGTCCATCTACTCGGGGAAGTGTCCTTAAAATCCCTCCTGAATCCCCTTTGGACGGAAAGGACAAACTGAAAAGCAGCTCTTTTCGGTATCCCAAGCATTAATTTTTAAAAAATTTATACTATGTTCGCACCAAATTGAAATCCTCTTGAAAACACAATTTGTGGATTGTGGAACCAAAGTCGTTCTGACCGTCATGTTGTGTTTTCGATGAGTTTTCATTGACAGTTCACACATCTATTTGTTTACATTTGTTATGTACCCTACAAGAACAGTGACGGTCATCTGATGGGTAATATGACAGTCATAGCTGAAAAAATTTTGTCAGCGCGCAGAACAAAGTTTCTATCATTTTCTTAAGAGCCTTGTTTTCTTTTTGTTTGTTTATTTTGTTTTTTCTGAGTCATTGCGGACCATCCGTCATAGCTGAAAATTGTCAGTTATGACTGAAACGCTATCAGAAGTGGAAAATTCTTTTGCGCAGTAGATAATATAATTTATATTTCTTTAATAAATTTCAAACTTTTAATCAAAATTAGTTATAATAATATATTTAAATATAAATAGGAATGCAACAAAAAATATAATAAAATATAATTATATATAAAAATAAATTGTCACTTGATGCCATCTCCTCCTCTCAATAGCTCTGCGTACGCCTTTCTCCAATCAGTGGATAGTTCTGAATGTAAAAATGCAAATGTAAATTAACAGTACTGACATATCAAATGTGAGTGTATTGGTGAATCCATCAGCAGTTTCTTGTAGGGTACGTTTAGGCCAATTATGGAATGTAAGCAAATTGTCAACTGACATTTAGGACTGGCAAAATATGTCTTCTAATAATATCGATTAAACTAGAGCAGGCACCGATTATAATGAGTGGAATGTAAGTTTTCAAGGCGTTTTCAGCGAAAACTGTGTTTTCGTTTGACAGATTTTGTATGGATGAAAACACAAGTTTTCGCATGAAAACCTCTTTTGTCTATGAAAACACGAATTTTGTGTCGGTGCGAACATAGTATTAGGTAATAACCTGGCAAATAAGAAATAGTAAGTCGATTACTCACACAGATCAAAAATTGTTACCGTTTGTTTTTGTAGCACAATTTGTGAGTCAACCTGTATTAAAAAATATTGCGAAAGAATTTAACATTTATTTTTCAACGAAATTGTACATAGATTACAATCAAATTTGGTATTTTATTATGGTCGCAGACCCACTTAGATTCATTACTATATTTTAGTTCGCATCAGCTTAAATTATATTAAAATCATCCTTAAATGAGAAATATGTGATACGAGTATAAACTCAATCGAAGAGGCTAAAGTTAATATATTGAGTATATGTGAAATCATCAACCATAGGATCGCATCATTACTTTAGGGATATAAGCTTTGGACCAATGTCACGACCAATTTCATTCATATTCACACAGAATTTTTAAGAAAACTTGTTCATTTAATTTTATTAAAGAATCACAAATTATTTCAGGTGGAAAGTCGGAAATTAATATACGAAGCTATATTACAATAAAATAGAGTAAGGGATGGGCTAATTAAGTTAATTTTTATATAACTGAGGTATACTTGAAATTATACACGACATGTTCGGCATAAAGTTTGATAAAAAAAACGAGAATTAATATACGTAGTATTTGGGACCTGGGGTAAGTCGTAGACTAAATTCACATTTTTTCGGCATTAAGCTATAGTATATCCAATATTATACGTTGAACTATAGTATATCCAATATTAATCAGTTAATTTTGCTATGATATCTTACATATTGACTGTTATATAATATATAGCATAAGGCCAAGGCCAGCCGAAAGTTTGAAAATCTAATGTTACGTATGTGAGAGATAGGGGTAGTATTGACCCGATGTTATCGTCACTAACATATGTATATGGAGTAAATCAACCGGATGTTTGAAAAGTCAGTGATTAGTTATATATATTATATAAGGGCTATGGCAAGTTTTCACCCGATTTTAATTATTTTAGGCACAAAGATACACTGTTATTAGGAAAATACGCTCTCTTATCTTTATTGAGATAACTCACATAATGACTGATATATGCGGTATAAGGTCACCCGGAAGTTCGAAAATCTTTATATTAGGTATATGGGGGCTAAGGGAAATATTGACCCACATCTCACACATTGACCGATATTTTCGGTAAAAAGTCAATTATAACCACTTTATTGGACAATTTTTGTTCATAAGGTGGCACACTTCAAAGGCACTTTTTTAATATTACAATGTGAAAAAATCAGATGGAATTTAAACTTATGTTATATGGGAAGTGCGTGGTTGTGTTCCTATTTCCTCCATTTGCGCACTGTAACATAAGAATATCTTAAGAATATTATTTAATGAATTTGGTTGAAATCGGTTAGAAAGCAGGTCCCGAGATATTTGCTTTCACCCACGCCCATCACCCAATTTCGATACCGACTCCTGTAAACCCTCTTGTGCCATCCTGGGTGTAAAATTAAATGTCTCTGACGCATTTAGTTATTGATTTATCACACTTTTAGTAGTTTTTAACAAAACCGGTTGTATTTATTTATGCGCCACCTTGTTTAGCACTCACCTTTTTATCTTGCTTTCACTAATAAATTGGTTTTTTTTATGTTTTTTGAAGAAATTCACACTTTATTGTCGCACAAAATTAATATAAGTATTTTAAATGATTCACAGGTTGTGACGGTTGATAGTGGAGATAGCGATTGGTACGAGTACGTTGCGCAAGGAGATCGGAATTATTTCGAATGAGGTGAATTGAAGATCCAATCCCTCTTTTTGTTGATGATGTGGGGTGTCATCGTGTATGGTGGTAACTTCTGTGCTGACATCGTGTGCAGTGTGGTCGTTTATGTTGTGAGTGCGTGTTGTGTTCCAAGGTGTGGTGTGTTGTATTAGGGTGTGACATTATTTACCCTGAAGAAGCGGTGTAGTTGGAAGGGGAGTTTATAGTCATTTAAACACCGGTATATGAGGAGTGGGCGGGGTTATCATCCGATATCATCGATTTTCACACTATCGTAAGAAGGGTTGAAAATATTTGTTGTGTGCAAATTTGGGTGATATAGTTTCTTTGGTTTGGGAGATATATACATTAAACTGATTATGGGGCGGAGCCACACCCACTTTTCAACATTTTCAAACCACAGGAGCCCTTTTTAATTAAATTCGTTGTACCGAATTTGAGTTCTGTATCTTACTTTACGTTTTAGTTATAGCACTTTAGACATATTCGATTAAAAGCGTTTTGTGGGCGTAGTAGTGGTCCGATTACATCCATCTTACAAAGTTTCATCAAGATATCTTAACTTTTACTCAAGTTACAGCTTGCACAGGCGGACAGACGGCTCGTCATTCTGTGCTTTTACATATACTATATTATATATAACTCTATATCTATCTCGATTACTTTTAAACAACTGTTAGGTGAACAAAACTATTATACTTTGTAGCAACATGTGGCAAGAGTA